AAAATACTGTATTTTAGATAATACTAACAAATACTCACCTCTACTTTGCGATCCACATTCTGTTCAAACTCAAAATAATCAGCTAATTTGGAATGCCAGAAATGATAAATGTTCCTGGATTCGCTGTCACTTTCATCATCTTGTAAGAAATACCTAACAATAGAACAACAGACATCTGTCATTGTATCCAACTGAGGAAAACAGAGGTCGAAAACTTTCCAAAAAACTTTACTTTGGGCTAGTTTCCTGATAAGTATAACAAGATTACCCGACATATGCAAAATTGGCTGTTCAGGATTATCTCATAGTTGAGTTTGTGTATTTTTCTCATTTTTAGCTGTTTTCACCAGCTCTTTGTCTGCTCATGTACAGAGCCCGTAGAAATACATGTTATAGCGGTGTGTGTCTAAGCAACATAGAACGTTCTGAGATGTAGCTCGCATTCTTGTCGCAATGTGTAGCGAATTTTTGTGGGATGACTAGAACTTACTTCGGGACCTGTAAATGGGATTTTATCCTGTTGGCTGTCTTTGAAATATATAATACAGTATATAGGAGTATATTCTGTGCCAGTGAGGGTGCTGTAGTCATATTTACTGATAAGTAAAAAACACAATACTTACTTTCTGCGTACAGCTTTACTAAGTGATCTATGATAGAAATCAAGCCTTCCTTCACCGCTATCACCAAATGGACGGAGGAATGGCCGTAATGCCCGGTACACTGCAGCCCATTTTGCAGCACTCAGCTGCATGGAAAGTCTATCTCTTGAATCACCCTTGTTGCCACCACTCGCTGAAGGTTGCCAGAAAAAAAAAAAAGTCACCCATTAAGTACAGACATATACAGCATAAACACTAGAAAGAACTGTGACAAACATCAAAGGAATCAACACCTGTGTGTTTAAATTTCATTAGCGTGTTGTTCCATGCCAAACTCTTCATAGCAAAACTCATATTTTGACAGTAGCTCATTTAATATTCTTTTAAATTTTCATACATAATAAATGAACTTGTTTCTTTATTTAAAATGCTATAATATAATTGTCTTAAGTGACAATAATTCTCATTCCTATTGACAAGTGTTTGAGATATAAGGTGTACAAATTCAAGTACTTATGATGATCTAATTCAAGTAGCATTGTCAATGTTATACAAAGTGTATACGGTTATATTATAAATTGATTTACAGACACTCAACTGAATTAATTCTGGTTGTTCTTTAGCAATAACATACATGTATTCATAAAATCAGAATAAGCAGCCTCTCGAATGAGATATGCACATTTCAATTAAAGAACTGAAGATATGATTTGAAAATGAACAAATCTGAGAGATGTCTACCTAA